AACAACAGCAGCAACAACAACAATAAGAAGCAGCAGAAGAAGAAGATGAAGCAGCAGCGGCAGCAGAAATTCGGCATACGACGACGACGACTACGAACAACAACAAAGCGCAGCCGAAAAAAAACAAAATAAATAAAATGTATCAATATAAGAAAAGTTGCTATGAAAATTGGCAAATGGCATCGAATCGTATTGCAACAACAACAACAACAACAACGGCAACAGCTAAGCGCGCGCGTTAACGAACTACAAATTTTAGAGCAGCGAACACCAAACCCAATTACTCAGTAGCCAGCCAAGGCAGCCAACAGCCAAGAACAGCCACTCAGCTGACCTTCCCACAAACTCAAATCCAAGCGCTAGCATCCCAACCCCTCCCCACCTCCTACCTCCTCCCGCTCGCGCTCTCTCTCTCTCTCTCCAGCAGCTCGCTGCCCATTCCGCATTCTCCATTAGCTGCCACGAAATCAATGAACGTCTAAGACGTAGCCGAAGCTAAAGCTTAAGTCGATGCCAGGCTAAAAGCGAAAGGTAAGTGGGCATATCGCGATGCTTTACTGTTAGACGGCAACTCTAGTTCAATGAGCTAGTTCGTTTTGATGATGCAGTTTGATTTGCTGTGCCAGTGCAGTTTGATAAGCTAGCTCAATAGTTGGATGCGATTAGCTAGTTCAATATGGCGAACTTGCTCAGTTCAATAAGCTAGTTCACTGACTTAATAGTACTAGTAAGATCCGATGAACTAGTTCAGTATGATGAACTGGTTCAATATGATGAACTTTCTCAATTTGATAAGCTAGCTCACTGCTTTAATGATAATAGTAATAGTTAGAATGAACTAGTTCAATAAGGTGAACTTTCTCAATTCGTTAAGCTACCCAATTTTGGTTCTACTAGTTCTATTTGTGGTACTTTTTCAATTTGATGAACTAGTACTGATTTAATTTGTTATTTTGCTTTGAGTTGCACTAGTTTAATGTTATGAACAAGTTCCATTTCATAAAGTAGTTATTTTTGATGAACTAGTTCCTTTTGGAATCATACAATTTATCGTTAATTTTATTCACCTGTTCAGATAGATATGTTCGAATGAGTCGCCTTTGAACTATTCATATTGAACTAGTTCATTGAATCGAAATTATTCTGAACTGTGTCTTAGCAGCCGCCTCCCAGAAACTCTCTCTGCAGTTGTTTTTACAGGTGAAGTGCTGCTGTCACACATATCGATAACTCACTGTAGACAGCATTTCTAATTAAAGCTTCAAAGTCGTCTCTTCTTTTTTATAGATACCCAGCTGCAACTTTTCTAGCTGTCTATCTTTTTTCTCTCAGTTGCGCTTTGTCTGCTGTATCGATGCCCCACTGTAGCCACTGTCTTAGCCATAGTTTTGCTCATAGTTTGACACCCCCTTTCCGGTGCCAATCAGAGCGAACTTCTTCTAGCGAAATCTCTATAAATAATGTTTCTGGCGCAGACGAAATCAAACGATGATTTTGGCGTTGTCGGGATAAGGCTCAACCCGCCCAGCCCCCAGCCCCCAGCCACCAGCCCCTCTTCACAGCGAGTACAGAGCCAACCCTTGCGCGCCTACGCAACGCTGTTTGCCACGAGGCGGCGTCATCGTCATCGTCGGCGTTGGCATCGTCCTTGTCCAAGTCCTCTTCTTCGTCGTCGTCGACTTCGGCTGTTGAGCGTCTTTAACTCTCATGCCCTTGCCCTTTCCCTTTCCCATTCCCATTCCCTTTCCCTTTTCTTTCTGCGCTCGCTTCTCCGTTACCTAAGCCACCCACCCCCAGGGCCTCCTCCCCCTGCCCCGCCGCCTTCTCGTTCATCTATTCATTCCTCCTGTTCCAGGAGCCATTAAGTTTTCTCGCTGTAATAAAAAATTTTCCTTTTTTTGCCGCGCATCACAGAGCGTTTATATATATATGTGTGTGTGTACCTTTGTGTATATGTGTATGTGTGTGTGTAGATACTAAATTTTCTAGTTTTTTTTGTGTATTTCCCTTTTACTCTATGCTTTGCCTTGCCTTGGCATTAGTGTTTATTTTTTTCTTTTTTTGAAAAGAAGATTTATGTAAAACGTTTGGGGAGTTAGCGCTGCGACAGAGCAGCCAGCTGCGGCAGAGGCCGCGCCGTCGACGCCAGCAGCGACAGCATTAGCAAAATAGTCGCAGATGCTGTTGCTGTAAGTTTTACGCAGTCAAAAAACAAAACTGCCAAAATACCCATCGCCCATCGCCCATCGCCCATCGCCCGTCGTCCATCGCCCACCGACTGGCGTCTTTCGCCTACCTTAAGCTCCGGCAGCCATCCTCTGCCACAACCCCTCTAGCCAGACCAGACCAGACCAAACCAGACCGCTCTCCACCCTCACCCTCGCCACAAGTTGCTGGCTGAGTTGCCTGCGGAGCCGCTGCGCTTGACTGCGACCAGCAACTGGAACGGCAAGACCTTCGCTCCTGGCCCTGGGCTGGCCTCACCCCTACACCAGAGCCAAGTCCTACTCCCACTCCTGCCCTAGCCCCTGGCTTGGAAGTTTGGCAAGTTTCATGTTTAGATTTCTAAGTCGCCTGCCAAAACCTCCCGCTGTGGATTTTCCACTATAAATATACATTTCCTGGCGCCCCTCACTTGCCCCCTCCAGCAGCAACTACATTTACTTGATTATTATATAGCTCGTCAATAATTAAGCCAAGACTGCCTGTGTGAAGGATACCCTGTAAGTAGTGCCGAGCCAGAGGACGATTGCCTGAGATGTGACTGAGGAGATGCGGAGAGATGCGGAAACAGCAAAATTTCGCATCTCAGGTCAAGTCTTTAGTTCCATGGATTAGGACCGTATTCCAGCACAAGAAACCTAGCAGAAGAATATATCTGGGTAACAGTGCTCCATGTTAGATGCTAATTTCGAGTGTCTGTTTGGAGTCGTTAGTCTGGCGCGCTGTGTGCCTCGCCTTGGCCTTGGCAAAAGGGTTCATTGCACATTGCGCTGCATTCAATTATTGACAAACTGGCAAACAGTCGATTTACGCAAGTGTCAGCGGGGCCGGGCGAGAGGGGTGCATAGAGAAAGGCCTGTGCAAAGCTGGGCAAGCCTTGAAATATAAAGAAAAACCCACGAGAAACAAAGAGAAACCCAGCACACATTCAATATTTGCAGATGAAGTGCGAACGCGGAGGGCGAGGCAGAGCCGGAGACGTTTACTTTGTTTATAGCCACATTTTAGTTGAAGCTCGAGCCCGGTTAGCCGATTATTGGATCAGCTGCTGAATGCGATCACTCGATCGCTGACTGCGCAAACCTTGTTGCCACGTGCCTTACAGAGCTGCATGCACACACAGCTACAGACAGAGCAGGAGATAGACACAGAGAGAGAGATGAAGTCAGATACAGATACAGATGAATAAAACTTAAAATAAGCAAAGAATCGAAGTAGTAAAAACTTTTTCTTATCGCATAGCATAAACACACGCTCCATCTGTCCCCCTGCCCCTGTCTCCCTCTCTTTCTCTCTCTATTTGTGTCTCTGCTTCTCCTTCTGTTGTTTTGTCTTTCGACTATGTGCAACATTAATAGCAACAACAACAACAACAACAATAGCAACAGCGGAAGCGACGCGTAGCAAAACGAAAAATGCCACAAAACGTGCTTCTAAGTTATTTTTCATTTGCCCCAGCCCCAAGCTGCATAACAGGCAGACTCCCTGCCCTTACACACACAGAAACACACACACGCACATTGGCCAGAGCATCTTAGACGCTTGAGCGCTGCTTGCTATTGTGTTTGTTGTTGTTTTTATCCTTCACACACACACACACTCACACACACACAACAAAAGATTGTCGAGTAGTTAGGTAACGGCCAACAGGCAACTGTAACGGTAGCGGTAACAGCAACGGTAAAGGCAGCGGCACTGGCACTGGGGCAGACAGGCATTTTAAGATTTATGTCGGTGATTATTTCTAAGTTTTTGTGCGCTTAGCAATGCGCCGCCCCCGCTCAGCTCTTGCCACAAGCATAGCTACAGGGTAGATCTGTGTGTGTATATATCAATGTATATCCACCTATATATGTATGAGGCACGTAGCAGCGCCAAATAGTGACCCCCAAATGCCTAACCTCGCTTAGCCTGGTCACTTATCCAGCTGGCTCCGCTTTGTGCGAGTGAGCGAAACGTGGCTGAGCCAAGATAACGCATACGCCGCGTATGCCGCTTTGGCTTGCACTGGCTGCACACGCTCAGAGCCCAGTTCTGATCTCGAGTCCCGCTTTAAGTCCAGCGTGGCCCTAGCCAGCAGACTGTATCCAATGCCCACATAGTCACCCTCACCTGCATCCTCCTTCTCGCAGCTCAGCCCTCGCCTCCTCATCGCAGCTAGCGCTGCTTGTGTTTGCCTTTGCCTGCTTTTCAATTCCCATTCTTTCTTTGGCTCATTGTGTTGACCTCGGCATCTCGTTTTTTTCTTCTGCTTCTTCTTCTTCTTCTTCTAAGCACAATACTATTTTCTTATTTTTCTGTTGTTGTTGTTGTTACATTTAAAATGTTTTATTTGGCCATTTGTATGTTTTATGGGAGCCGTCGCTTACCGCTAGCTACCTACGAAATCGACCCATGCCCGCGCCATCCCGCCCAGCCGCCTTCTGTGTCGCATTTATTCAAGTATATTTATATAAATACATAAATATATATTCGTTTAAACAGGAATGTTTTTGTGAAGCCATATGCTACATGTAGCTTTGCTCTGATCTAGCATGGGCATGAAGCGAAACTAAGTCCGAATGCGAGCATATCAGAAGAAGTCTAAGTCTTCACTTATATATATATATATATATATATATATATATATATATATATATATATATATATATATATATATAGATATATATATATATATATATATATATATATATATATATATATAGATATATATATATAGATATATATATATATATATATATATATATATAGATATATATATTACGAACTTACTGGAATTAGTGAGAGTTGCACGTTCCACACAGTCGTCTCATCAGTAGCCTCGTCTGCACCTGCTCTGCAGCCTCTCTTCAAATGGTTCTTCAATTCTAGATCTGTTTCGCTATGTGTGATAGGCAGTTGGCTAGACCTGAATAAAAGAAGTTCGAAATGAAATTTTAGTTTCAGGTAATTGAATTCGAATCGAATACAGGTGTGTTTGAAGCAAGCTTAGCCATTTGCGAACGCCTCAAACAAGCTATTTGTGATAAGGACACACAGCCGACTGATGCCAGCGCAGCTTGAGCTAGGCATGAAATTCAAATGCTTCTTTAATCAAATATGCCTGGGGCAGTATCTGATCTACTATGAATCAGATGGATATAGTTGTGCTCATGAAAATAGTAATTCTGCACGACAAAAATACAAACATAAGACAAATGAGTAATACATATATGGTTAATGAGGTATATATATATATTGATTCATAGTTGACATTGACATTAGCCAACTCAAGAGCACTTCGAGCCCTCTGCCTCACTGTATGCACTCAACTTTCGTTTTTACTTGGCATCTGCTGCTGTCTCTTCTACTTTTGTGTGGCTCATGCCCCAAAACTAATCGCGACTGCTTAAAAGGGGCAGCAGCAGCAGTCGCTGTTCTGCACAATGCATAAGAGAGTGCGAGAGAGAGAGAGAGAGAGAGAAAGAGAGCGCGAATTCTAAATTAAAAGTAATAATAAGTATGTTATGTTCGAGTAACAGGAGGTGTGTGTGTGTGGGGGTAGCTACCCTGCGAACTTAGACATTGAAATGAGAATTTTTAAATATAAAAGGATGCCACACACACTCCCACACACACACACACACACAATATGCATATGTATTAACTCAGCCCACACCCACCTGACATCTACTAGCAACAACAACAACAACTAATGCCAAAGCTCTGGTTGTAGCTAGTCTCCAGCGTCTTCCACGCTGCCAGCGTCGCTGTCGCTGCCGCCGTTGCCGTTGCCGTTGCCGTCGACGTCAGCCGCCGTTAGCAATGCAAAAGAAATATTGCAACCCTCGGCAGAGGGTTGTGTGTGTGTGTGTGTGTGTGCTTTTTATTTTCTAAACTTTACTGAAGTTGTCGTTGTTGTTTTTTTTCCATGCTGCTTCTCCTCTTTGAATGCTTTTTTATACATGTTTATATGTATATATATAGTACCCGTACTTAGTGGCTGGGCAATGCCGAAAACGCACTGCGAGAAATCGCGAAGACTAGCGAAAGAAGACATTGCACATGATCTCCTGGTCAGTGGGCTTCAGAGGCTGAAGCAGTAGAGTGGAGACAACTCATAACCTACATGCACGAGGTATCGAACTCAATCTGCAATAGACGGACAAACGAATAGAATGCTTGAGAGCAGAGCTCCACAGTGACCCAACTGCAGATCTGCTTGCTTCAAGATCTGCTGGCTCCGCGTTCCACATTTCATATTTCATATTTCATATTTCATATTTCATATTTCATATTTCATATTTCATATTTCATATTTCATATTTCATATTTCATATTTCATATTCCATGTTCCATATTCCATATTCCATATTCCATATTCCATGTTCCATGTTCCATGTTCCATATTCTATATTCCACATTCCATATTCCATATTACATGTTCCATGTTCCATGTTCCATATTCCATATTCCACATTCCATATTCCATATTCCATATTCCATATTCCACATTCCATACTCCATATTCTATATTCCATATTCCATATTCCATATTCCATATTCCACATTCCGTATTCCGTATTCCATTTTCCATATTCCATATTCCATGTTCCATATTCCATATTCCATATTCAATATTCAACATTCCTCATTCCATATTCCATATGCTCTCATTTCACTACTTAAGCGAGAGAGAAGTCGAATCATACCAGATTATTATCGCTAGCTCTAGCTCATATACATACACATCTATATATCTTAGTATATAATCGACGTTCAGCTAACTATTTATTTATGATATTTCTTATTCAGACATCATTTTGCTCAGTGTACGCTTTGTATTGGCGCCTGTCTGTGCGGCGTTGTCATTGCGCCTAAAAAGCACCTTTTTCCACTACAATTCCGCTCATGCTGCCTGCGCCTTAGCCTGCCTTAGCCTTACAACAGACTGGCACAACAATTTACAACACACACACATACATACATACACTTAAACAAGCAGCCACCATAAAACATAATATGTATGAGATTTTTCTTTCTTCTTTTTTAACTACGAACACGTAGTTAAAAAATGAAAAAATTTAGAACTGCAAACGAAGATGAAGATGCTGTTGTATGTGTGTGTGTGTGTGTGTGTGTGTGTGTGTGCGTGGGGGACTCTGGTTGTACCTAGCAGAAGAGCTACTGCGGCATCGACGCCAGCATCAACGTCAGAAAATTGAAAAAAAGAAAGAAAAAAGAAAATAATACAACTACAACGCACCGACGACGTCTGCTATCGTCTCAGTCTCAGTCTCAGCTGGCTTTGCTACAGCCAAGTCGCAACTACACGGACACAGACACACAAACACAGACACACGCACACGCACGCACACAGAGACACGGGCCACGCACAGACATGCATATAAACCACCCTTGAAAAAATTTCGCGCAGCAAAATCTAAAGCAAAAATTTCAAGAGACGAAAAAACGAAAAACGAAGTGCAAAAGTATAGAAAGAAATGTTGAAATAAAAACCTTGTTTCCGCGCAAGTTACAACAGCTTCCCCCACCCTGCCCCGCTAGCCGGCCAGCTGACAAAAAAAGCTAAGCACACACACACACACGCACACCACTTATTTGGAGGGGTTACGAGTACATGCCGTATCCACCTTGAAGAGAAAGTACGATATTTGCTAGCAATAAAAGTAGTAATCAGTCGCGGTGCCTGCCATACACACACACACACACACACAGAGACGCACACACACACACACACACGCACACACATACATAAAAGGCGAGCGAATCGCCGAGGTTGCTCTGTCGACATTCCCGAGTTAGAAAGAGATGAGCATTAGAAGCAGGCAGAAAAGCAACAACAACGTTTCGTAGGGAGGCGAAAGAGTAAGCGAGAGGGGGCCGGGGACGTATGGGGAGGTGGCAGTGGGGAGCAAGCTGCTGGCTGGTGGCTGGTTTAACAACTGCTCCGCGTAACGAGAACTTTTCATTTTATGTAATTTCACTTCGCCGTTTTTTTTTTTCGCCGCACTGCTTTTTTTGCGCTTTGCTCATTTTTCTATAACATTCGAATTTTTAAGTGAGTGTCGCCGGCGCTGCCGACGCCGCGGCCGGCGTCGCTGTCACGCATGTCGCCGCGGCTGTCTGCCTTTACTTTTGCTTTTGCTTACCCCATTTTTCGCCCCTAGCGAGCTGCAATGTTTTTTTGCTTCTTTCTTTTTTCTCGCTAACTAAGACATTTGCTGTCGCTGCATTCGTTGGCGCTGCTGGCGTAGGCAGCGCTGCCAGCGTCGGCAGTTTTTCTTTTTTTGTGTGTTGAAATTACGAAAGCGACATTAATTTTTTAGAATTGCGCTTATGCGTGGAAAAGCAGTTAGCCTAGTGCGGAGGAGGCGGAGGAGGTGGAGCAGGTGGAACAGGGACAGGCAAAAAAGAGACAGAGGCAGCGACTGCGCTGCTTGCCAAACTTTCACTGCGGGTTTGGGGCTTGGAAATTGGGTTGGGGGTGGCTCGGCAGAAGCTGCGTTTTAAATGGGTAGTAAACGCGCATGTATGTAGTTATATTATTTTTTACGAGCGCGATATGTTGTGTAAAATAGCATTCTGCCTCAGTCAACAACCACGCCTACCCGCACCCCTCTCCACACCCCATCCGCCGCCCTACCACCTCCTCACATATCTCTATATATATATGCATATTTTGTATGTGGCTATGCAGATGAGTCGGCTGTAAGTTTTCACTTTACACTCAGGTGTGCTTCAGATGGGGGTGGGGGTGGTAGGGAGGGGGCAGCCGTTAAGATACCTTTGTAGCACACGGGTTTCCTTAGTATTCTATACATAGTTTGGATGTGGGAATGATTGCCTACACTTGAACGAATCGATTCATTCGATAACAGAGAAATGTCCCAGTTTAGTAATCGATAAGTTAATTTTATAATGCATGCCATCGATATGTTTTTATAGATACTCAGCAATTAATTTGTCCTTCCAATCGATGAATCAAAAGTCAAAAAGAGCAAGTTTTCACAAGTTTTGACTGGCATTATCGATTTGCCGCTAGTTGTACCATGAAAAGTCATCGGTATGTGTTGAATTTACTTAGTATATCAGCTTCTTGATAGATAGATTCTTGCTGTTCAATCAAAAAAGTAAAGTATCGATAAATCGATAATTGTGAACTATTAATCAATTTGGGTTTTAATTCTTATGTGGATTGTAAGTTATGCGATGCATTTAGATGCCCAAAAATTCACATCGATTTATCGACACATTCTTATTGATCAATCGATCAAAAGTTGCAAGTCGATAAATCGATTGTCACACATTAGTAGTAGTGCATAGCCTGCTCTTGCACATTATATGAGGTCTCACGCTCCATCAAAATAGAATGCAGACACAGTTGATAAATCGATAACCGATACATTTTCTGTTTAGTTTCTCACATGTAGTTTCATCGATACATTTCTAAAGTTGAATTATCAGTAAGAAATCGATAAATCGATACTCATGAATTATGAGTAAATTAAGCTTGTTTGCCTGAAACAGTCGTGGCCAAATTAATGAGCACAGCACAATGCATTGCATCGCATCGCATCGCATCGCATAGCCATTCGCTGCGACTATTTTGATCCTTTTTGTGTTTTTTTCCTCCCATACAGTTTACTTAATTTATGGCCACACCCCTGCTCACTGCCCTTGCCACTGCCACGAATGTGAAATTATTTACGCGACAATCGAAATGGATTTTTTGTTTTATAAATGAGGAGAAAACCTCATGAATAATAGCGCAAAATATTTGACGTCAGATGCCTTTTTATATATTGTAATTATAATGGCAAACTTTTTGCCATTTCCACTTGTTTTGTCGGCATTTATATTTGATTATGTAATGGTTTTTTATTGCAAAAGAATGCATAAAAAACA